GAAGCTCTTTGTTACATCTAGTAGCATTCATGTCGTTTCGCTCCAAAATTTGTGCCGCTTCTAGGAATTTTTGAGATCATTAGTTAAATTAGCATTTTTGGAGTGGAGCTGCATTTTTAGTGCGGTTTTTGCAGCAATGCAATGCAGAAAAAGCATAGTGACGAAGGGTTGTCTGTATGCATGTGTTTGTGTGTGTCTGTGTGTGCGCTGGGCGTCTGTACCGATTTTTCGTCTCGAGACCTACAAAACCTACGGGGCTGAAACTCTGGGAACTTAATCTACATGCGTGTATGGGCCCCCATCTCCAAAATAAGTGCTTTCACACGCGTAGTACTCAAGTACGGGCTCGCTAAAGTTTTTTTTTTTCGGGTAAGTTGCTAATGCGTTAACCTGAGAAGCTAGAAGACCGGAATTTTAAGATGATGCTTCTCGTCCACGTAGGTCTCAATGAGTTTACGCCCAATCCCTGGATATGTGTGGCTCCTATGTATGGGTCGGTGAAAGTTTTTTGCAGGTGGGTTACTAACTCGGGAACCAGGAAAGCTGGAAAACTGAAATTTTAAAGGGATATTTTAGACAGCCCCGCTGGCCTGTCTCAATTATCTTAGCTAGAAGCATGTGCAGGAAAAACCGTGCCGTTAGAGACAAAAACCTATGGGGAACCGCGCAAAAAACGCATCTTCGCACCGGCATTCGGTGCGTTGGCCATTTATTTCATTTTTCCGGTGGTTTGGTGTGTTCAGCACCTAGTGCGCCGGAGATTTGAAGTTATTTTGACAGTGGTATTAGTAATGAATTCGGAAAAAATGATTTCAGAGCCAAAGGCGACTCCTGCACCTGAGGAAGACCATCGATCGCAGCTAATGAAAACTGAGCCAGCTGTTTTGGAACAAGTTGTGCATTTGCTTCTGCCAATATTAGTCGAAATTGACGGCAGCTCAGTGAGCTTTTTCTCTCATCTGCTTGCTTTCTTGCCTTCTCGTCTCTATGAACCGTTGATACTTTTCATCTTGATCATGGTGTTCCTTTTTCGCAGCTACTTGGCAGGCAATCTTTCCGTTGTAGCACCTCCTTTACCAGCTTTTAATTCCAGTACCCCTTTCTTTGCTACTGTTTTTCCCGGGGCAAATATTTCTAGATACGCTTTCTTCAGGCTGATTGTTACATTACAAGTAGATGCTAAGAGCTCAGGAAGCGAAGCCATGGGGAGAACTAATTATGAATGAATATGAAAAGTGAAATAAAAAGATTGAAATTAGGCGTCATAAATAGGAAGACATTTCATGATGCAGTCTGTGTTTCATCCCTTAGCTGTATACACAGACCGAACAGTGTGTACGGGTAGGAATGGGAATCGTCAGTACAGCCTCCTGCTACCCGCCATGTATTGAAAAGACATGTAACTAATTTGCAAGAAGGATAAGTGAAAGAGAAGAGAAAGTGTAATAGTATGAAAGTAATAAAAGTGATGAGGCAGATGGAAGAGGAGGAGACTAACATTTGAGACGGATAGTAATTCTATGTATAGTGAGTTAAGACGTTTCGACCCATTAAGTCATATACGTCTTAGTTCAACACCACGACTGGACCTCGTCAGTGACGGTTGTGGTGTTTAGAGAGGAGAAAAGAGAAAGAAACGAAGAGGAGATAAGAAAGGGTTTTTGCTATTTATTAAATTTAGAATTGTTGAAAAAGGATAAAAAAGTAGCAATTTAAGCAGAAAACGTAAAACCTTGATAGAAGATGTTCTGTGGTCGGTGTGATTGTTCTCGGTAACGTCGTTGCCATTACTTTTGTTTCGCTTCGCGGTCGATATAGCTAGAAAGTATTGTGGCATTTCAACTGCTGACTCGCTGCCCATCTAAATCTGTTCAGTGATTATCACCTGTTGGAATTTGCTAGTTTGGAATTAATCACACCGAGATTTCCCAGATCACAGGACTTTGTACGCGGATTAGCCGGCCCACTGTAAGCAACAAAAGCAAAATTCGATGGCCAGCAGTGATTCAGATTGCCGTTCTGTTAAAAATATACTGTGGAGCCAAGCTGATGCACGCTCTGCCAGTAAGTATGGCTTTTGCTTTTTCAGAGTGGTCCGGCACTCCGTTATGAGAGTTTGCGTGTGACACTTCGGATGATTTATCCGGCAGAAGTAAGTATCTTGAAAAGCATATTGGCGACGTTGCCGCTGGCCGGACCTATTGCTAGTGCGCTGGCGTGCCCACGTGGCAAAGATCTCTGTGTTGTGGCATCGGCACTGCAATTAACCCATATACTTCTGAATAAGTTCCCTGATATATACATCTCATTGTTCAGGCGTGAAGGTTCGTGTTCCTCATCGTCTTGTTTTTTTATGTTCTCTTAAGGCGGCATGCTTCGTAAATCGTTTATTGGATTTTAGATGGCTTTTTTATGCAGTTTATTG